CCTATGGAGTTGCATACTTTGGTTTAGTTTACAGTTGTTCAAAGGGACACCAGTGAGCAGTTCCAACACTGATCCAACTAGGGTAGATGTACAGTATATGAAAGTGGTTATAACAAAGTCAGAATTAAACCCCATGAATTAATGATGCCTAAAGCTGGGTCCTGGACTTCCACCAAGTTGTAAAACTTTTCTGAAATAATTCTCTTTATTCAGGACAACAGTTTTATGTACCAAGATGCAGATCTCAATGTTTTTAATCTCCTTTCCAATATAAGTTAGTGAACAAATTATATTGTACTACTTGCCTTGGGTGCTTTTGAACCTTTATAAATTCTCCAATTCTGCTCCGGTCAAAACAGCAGCATTGAAAGGTTGTATTTCGGGGAATTTTTATTTTGTTTGCTTTTTTGTAAGGGGGGGGTGGATGGATATTAACTTTTACTCTAAGATTATGTTCCCAGTGTTGGGTTTTATTTCTGTTTGGGATCCTAGGAGTTGATTACAGTGGGAGCATTTAGACAGGAACGTGTGCTGGAGAAAGCGGAAATGTCTTTTTACAGTGCCTATTTAGACTTGGAAATTGAACAGCTGTTGCATTACATCTTTTTTATTTCTACTTAAATTTTGAAATCAAAGCCAGTCCCATATCTGTACCATTTGATTGGTATGTGTTCAATATATTTGTTTTTTTCCATAAGGACTCTTTCTGCTTTTTCTTGTGGAGTTCATCTTTAATTGTATTAAAACAAACAAACAAAAAAAAAACCAGCAACAACAAACAAAAATTAAGAACAAAAGAAATAAAAAAATTAAAAAGAAACCATATTGTCCAATAACTTAACAGGGATATACTGGTCTCTTAAGGTCATTAACTAACAGTTCAGTCTTTTTAAAAATACCCGATTATTAGAGTTTTTAACATATAGACGTGTGCTAGGAGAAGCAGTCATTCTGCTTATAATCCTGATTGTTCTAAAATCGTCAAAAGCAGAAACATGTGAAGTCAGAATCACAGAACAGTTTGGGTTGGAAGGGACCTTAAAGATCATCCAATTCCAACCCCCTTACTGTGGTCAGGGACACCTTTCTCTAGACCAGGTTGCTCAGAGCCCCATCCAGCCTGGCTTTGAACAGTTCCAAGGATGAGGCATCCACAACTTCCGTGGGCAGCCCCTCACCACCCTCACTGCAAAGAATTGATTCCCAATACACAATCCAAATCTACCCTCTTTCAGTTTAAAGCCATTCCCCCTTTTCCTGTCACTACATGCCCTTGTAAAAAGTCCTTCCCCAGTCGTAGGCACCCTTTAGGTACTAGAACATGGTATAAGATCTCTCCAGAGCCTTTCTTCAAGCAGACCAACCTGAACTCTGTCAGCTTTTCCTCACAGGAAAGGTGCTCGATCCCTGTGATCATCTTTGTGGCCTCCTGTGGGCCTACTCCAATAGATCCACGTCCTTCCTGTGCTGAGGCTCCCAGAGGTGGAAGCAGCACTCTTAGGTGGGGTTGGTGGGGTCCCACCAGAGCAAAGCAGAGGGGTGGAATCCCTTCTCTCACCCTGCTGCCCACACTGCTTTGGGTGCAGCCCAGGACACCTTTGGCTTTCTGAGCTGTGAGTGCACATTGCTGGGTCATATCCAGCCTCTCATTCACTCCAAGTCCTTCTCAGCAGGGCTTGTCTCCATCTGTTCATCCTCTAGCCTGGATTTGTGCTTGGGATTGCCCTGAAGCAGGTGCAGTACCTTGCACTTGGCCTTGTTGAACTTCGTGAGCTTTGCACAGACCCACCCCTCAAGCTTGTTGTGGTCTCTGTGGATGGTATCCCTTTCCTCCAGTGTTGACTGCACCAGCTTGCTGAGGGTGCCCTTGATCCGAGTCCATTTTGCTGACAAAACATAAAGGGGTTGCTGTCCATTTTTTTGGATTGAAAGTGCTTTGGGGTATTTAAACTGCTCAAATATGCCCTACTCCCACACAGAAGAATTTACATAGTGGTAAATTTTTCTCCTTGTGATCACACCATTGAGTTGCCTAATAGTGATGCTTAAGAGCAGTGTTTGTAATGATTTACTGGCATTTCCAGCAGGTTCTGCAGCCTCTGTCCCTCCCTAGTGCAAGTGCATGTGAAGGCCTGCTAACATCGTTGTGTAGTACCATTCACTATGCATTTGTCCTCAGTGTTGTTTCTGTAGCGTCTTCTGTATGGTCAGAGCACATGGGTGATGATTATAACACAGAAGATAATTTAACAGTGTACTGGTTGGCAGTGAAAGCTAGAACAGCACCTTTACACCTCTGCAAGGACTTGGATCTAGCATTGCACGTTCTGCTTTGAATTCACCTCGCTTTCAGCTCCCAAAGTGATGATGTCTAACTACTTAACCCTTTTTTAAAAATTTATTTATCCATTTGAATTCTGAGCGTAAGTTTTTTTCCTGGGACTGTTTCTTGATTTCCTGGATGGCCCAAGTGCTTGTAAGAAAGGAAGTTACCAGTGTTTGTCCATCTGGTACAGCCAGAGTGTAAGTACTTGGTAACATCTATTGTCACATAGTTGTTAATGGAATTCTAGTGGTGTGACAAAACGTAATTTCTAGATATATCTTACATAGCACAAGTGCCAGTGATTCCTTTGGAATTCCTTTTTGGAATAATGATATTCCAGAAATACTGAGGACTTGTCTCCCCCTGCAGCCAGCAACTAGAAATTTTGTATTGTAAAAACGGAGAAGGGAAGGTGGGTGAGATTTGCATACTGTGACAAAATAGTGCCTAGACTCCACACTAGCAAATTCTGGGTAATATGTCATTCATTTTACAAATAGCTTTTAAATTTAATTACAAAAAAGGGGTTGGATTTGGGCCTTCCCTTATGTAGAGGAAGTACCACGATAAATGGTAATCAAGAAGGTAAGGCTCATTTCTGATTCCCTAATAAAATAATCTGAATTACTTGTGCAGTTGGGAAGAAAAAATTAAGATGACTGATGAAACACACTTAGGATGCAAAAGATTTGGAGCATCTATCAGAAGAGGAGAGTTGTGCCTAAATACGGATCTTCTACCCATCAGAACCCAATGACCTCAATTTCCAGGTGTGCAAAACTGAGGTATTCATCACCTGTAAATTTCCTGCTGTACAGCTGAAGAGTGGTATGAACTGACCTTAGTCTTCATGGTTAAATACATTATGAAAGTGAGCTCTTGAGGGAACCTAGGGATGCTGTAGCTGAGCGTCAGCTTTTGAGATCTTGGAAATTTTGCTGATGCAGTTGTAGCTCTATAGCAGCTTTTATCAAACTGAAGATGTACAAAACAAGCAGGAAAAGTAAATTACTTAACTGATTTAAAATGTTTGAACTGCAGTGAGCCTGCAGGCATCATTGTCATAATCAGTCTGCATTAGTCAAGAGCGTGCAAAACAAAAAAAATGATAAGGAGTTGGAGAATGGCATATGACCAGAAATGAGATTCTCTCCTGAACATGGAATCATAGAATTGGTTACCTTGAAAAAGCCCCTCAAGGTCATCAAATCCACCTGTTAACTCAGTACTGCCCAGCCCACCACTAAACCACATCTCCAAGTGCCACAGCTTCATGCCTTCTAAATACCCACGTAGATGGCAACTCAGCCACGTCCCTGGGCAGTCTGGCCCAACCTGAGTGTTGCTTTTCCCACTGCAGCAGGAGGAACCACACAGTACAATGATGACATTTCCAAGCAGAGGTGCTTGGCCTAGTGCCACTGTACCCTGTTATCCTACTTAACAACTTGCCAGTGGAGCTGGCACAGGAGGCTGTTCCTGTCCCCTTGCCTTCCACCAGCTGTTGAATCTGGGATAGCCTTGGAGCTCCTCCCCCTGTCCGGTCTGCCTTGTACCATCCGTCCCCAGGGGCAATGGGAGAAAATAAGTAAACCAGCTCTCTAAGCCAGTGCAAAGGGATGATTGAGCAAATGTTAAATAGCCTTGGAGTAGGGATTATCTATGTAGCTGAAGAGAATGGTAGCAAGACCAGACCCCTGGGGCCAGTGCAAGGCAGCCAAAGGCATGGTTGGGTACATCCAAGTAAATGGATTTAGTTATAGGGACACAGCAGTTGGGGGTTGCAGTCAGCATTAAACTAAGGATAAATGCAGACTGAGCCATGCTTTGGAGATGATGGCAGTGTGGAGAGTTGTGTAGGGGCCTGCAGCACCTGGTAACACCTCCAGTTTACTGTTCTCTGTCCCATATTTCACATGCCACCTTCCTCAGTATCATCATCCTTTATTCCACAGACAGTAGAGATTAGTTTCTTCTGATGCAGGGGCTTATGAAAATGTTAATGCACTCTTCATTTAGTCCTGCATGATAGTTCTCGTAGCCGTGGAATGGGGTTTTAACCCTTTAAGTGCAGAGGAAATAAGATACACAGCTACATGGTCATCTTTCATGACAGGAAGAAAAGAGACAAGTTTATTCAGAAATACACTTGGTTTTATAGCATGACTCGCAATTCCAAGAGTAGAGAAAAGGTGATTGGTTCAGAGAGAAGACACCCCATTCCCAGGGCCTGGTCACACACTACAACAGATGTTCTATCTTTGTTATTAATTCCTTTTTATTTTGACGAAATTATCACCCTGGGAGAAATTCTCCTTAGCCTTGAGCTGGACCAGCTTATCGGCTGGGAACAGAGCTGAAAAGCTCCAGCCTGGAGTATTTATCAGGCTGTAATTTGCTTTCTTTGTCAATATGTGCCCCACAGTTCTTGCTCTGGTTTTTTGCTTTGTTCACTTTCTTCCACTTGCTTAATACATTTTTGCATTGTTACTACTTATGTAATTATTTATTCTTTTCAGTAAGACCTGAAATCTGTCTTTCACTGCAGTTTGCAAAACTGGGAAGCAGCAGACTGCTGGGCAGGAGTTGTATCAGCAGCTGGAAGTACAAGGAAAGAGGAAGAAATGTTTGCTTCTAGCCCTGGCTCTCCACTCCATCCCTGCTTTCCCCTCTGTGAGCATATAATGAAGTCAGCGGGCAATTAGAAAGTTCTCTCATGTCTTACCTTTCCTGGCTCTTCACTTCCTGTTGCTGGGGAAACTGCAGTTCCAAATCCCTTCCCCTAGGCTCAGTGCTGCCAGAACACTGCAGGCAAGCAGAGTTCTAGGAGACCATCAGAGTTCTAGACCATCAGAAAGGCAGGATTAACTAGCAACAAAGCAGGGCTGAACACCAGCAAGGTCACAAAGGGCCTGAGAGCAGCAGTAGCTGCCTTGGCTGTACAGCCAATTCTCAGGCTGAAATGATCGGACAAATGCTGACTGTGGTAAAGTATTAAGTGCAGAAGTGTTAGAAATTGTTCAGGTGCTGGCTCAAAGAAGGCACTTCTATAGCACTGGCCCTCAGGCACCTTCAGCCCTGCTCGAGCCTCTGTCTCTATCTCCAGAAGGTGGTAAGTGGGTGGGGACTTTGCATTAGAACCACTGTAATTTTCGTATTGCTGTCTTCAAATCTTCCTAAGCTCAAACTGGTTTGCAGCAAAGCAATGGGAGTAAAGAACTGCCATCACCTCTTTTCAGAGCTTTAAGTGCTTGTACTCCCTCAGAGGGATTTGAGACTATAAATACTTTTTTACAGGTCTTGTTCTTTTTTTACAGTCCTTGCCAATGCTATGCAATACACTTCCCTTTCTCCCTGAGCTGAACAGAACACTGAAGCAAATAAAGCAGCCTCCCATCTTCCCCTCTGGCTAGAGTTCCTCTTCTGGACTTTGGGATTTAGCATCCTTTGCCAAATGCAGTGGGTGAGGAAAACTACATGTTGAATGAAGGAAAACTCTGCATTTTTACTCGTTTACAAAACTGTTGTTTCATGGTTAAGTGAAAACCATGAGAAGCCTGACTGCCACAAGTGTAATGGGTGCCTGGGTGGGAGCTTGAGCTGGTTTTGGTAACCCCCCCAGTACCACCAGTAAATGTGCACTGTAACCAGCTGCCTCTGCTGCACATCACCTTTTCTGTGAAGCAAATGAGAGGGCACATCTGCTTTTTCTGTGTTTATTATGTTACACTGAAGCAAACCAGCATGTGGTTATTTGCAGTTATTAGCTGATTATTTCACCATGTCTAAGGAATACAAAGAAAAGTAATTAAATAGTTCAGGACCCAGTTAGCTCTGAAGGGAGGCTCAGGCTGTGTGACTGGACAGGACAAGTCCCATGCCAGGCTGAGTCTCCTGTGCTGCCCACGCAGTGAGGCAGCAGTCTCCATCTGCTGGGTGCATTTTGAGTGCACAAGAGACAGTGAGCTCTGCTCTTGTTCATGTGGGAGCACAACCCAAGTAATTTCCTGGGAGTAACACGGTGAAATCCACACCCTGGAGATGTTCATCCTTGCCCAGAGGGGTCCAGTGGTGACCACACTCAGTGTTGTCATCCCTTGTGCTGAAAGCTGCTCTGAGAAACCAAGGCTGGGTGACTCTCCTGACTCATGCAAGATGAGACTTTCCTCGTGTCTCTCTAGATGATCATTCCCATACACTACTTTCCCCTTGTTTAAGTTCAAACACAAAATACTCGTGCCTCTTAAATAATGACTTCTACCAAGATTCTGGAGATGCTTCAAAATGGTCTCCTTCCTGTCATTCGTAAGGATGGAGAGGTGGTAGATGAGCCAAAGAGTTGCTGGTGCTGCTGGAAGGAGCAAGTCTTCCTTTTAGGAATAGAAAGCTTAAAGTCACCAACTTAAAATGTAGTCTTCAAGGACAGTGGCCAGAGGAACCCACCTGAAAGTGCAAAGCACATCAGGATTTGTTGGTTGACTTTGATGTATCTGCGGGTTTTGTTTAGCTGTAGAAACTCAGTTTGCTAAGGAAATTATTGACATTGATATCTATATTGTATAAGCCTTTTTTCTTGTCTTTTTTTATTTTTAAATTTAATTTTTCCAGCTGTGGCTGGGGGCCCAAAAGCAGCAAATCAGTGCTGGTAAGTTGTTTGAAGAGCCTGGAGGGTGCACATCCTCACCAACCCTCCTCTTTGTAGATATTGTTCAGGTGGGTACAGATTTCATTGGTCACCTTCTCAAAGGAAGCTTTGCAGTCTCCGCCAAATTTCTCATCCATCAATTGTAAGATAATGTCACAGATAATCTAAACAAGCAGAAGGGAAAAAACAACCAATGTGAACTTTTCTTCATATTAGAGGCATAAGAACTTATGTATCTTTAGTTGGGATTCTTGGAGGACAGAAAGGGGCACAAGAACAATTCACAGTACATGACGTGCAGAGCTTGTAACAGGGCATGGAAAATAAGGTGCATTATAGAATTCACAAAAAACTGCTGCTGATGTTTTTAACTAACCTGTATCTAGTTAATGTTGATTACACCCATCACTTAAGGATGGCTATATAGGACTGATGGGCTTCATTCCTCCACTACAATCCTTCTCCAGGCAGGGGACTGTCCCAAATAAATATTTAGAGGCCATGATGAGCCCCTTGTTGGACACCTATGGCCTGGAGGATAAGTTTTTCCCTGACTTTTCCTGCTTGTTAACTATCCAGCACTCTGTAGCAGAGATCTTGCAGTCACTAGTTAGGTGTGATATATATACATAATCTTTGAAATGCCAACTCCTTTCCTGTGCAGCATTTATTGTTTTATGTTCATCTTTACCCTGAAAAAGTATTTTCAGACAGAAATCATCACTTATTTTCCCACTCATTGAAAATTGGGCCCACTGCTTTTGAAATCACGTTCATTTGGAAATAATCTTTGCCTGAGGGTGCCTCCTTTTGCTTGTAAGGCAGACAAAATAGTTATAAATGCACTCTGTTAGACCTTAGGTGGATCTGGGTAAGTAATTTGATCCTTTATTTATTTTTTGAGTTTGTTTAATGATGACAATGCTGTTGTCATCGTTGCTCAATAAAGCTGGTTTAGCTGGTTTAGAAAAGCTCAGCTCCTGTTACAAGATAAAAAATACATCAGGGACTGAAGCCCAGTGTTAAACTGCTTTTCTGTATCTTGTTATTAAATGGCAGGTGTGGGAATCTTATTGCACTGAGAAAACCCTCTACAGCTCATGGGCAGCTGTGCAGCTCCCACCTGAGCACCAATCACCTGCCTGCACCACATCTGCTGCACAGCCATCATCCCTACCGATGCCACATCTCTCACTCCTCCATCTTCCACCATCAACCATCTCACCTTCCACCTCCTCCATTCTCTGTGGCATATATAGGTATTCCTACATACATCCTCAGTTCTACCCCTCAGAGGGGAAAACATGCCCTCCTCACAATTACACCCTTTGGGAAGAGGGCTGCTCACTCACCCTAAAGTTTTTGGGATCAATCTTCAGCTGGGTGGCATGTTTCTTGCCGAGTGGGGTCACTATCCCAAGAAAAGCCTCAGAGTTGTCCAGGTGTTGCACCATGTCATTGATGGCACTGAAAACCTTCTTGCCATGGCCTCTGACTTGATCTGACTGTTTCATCTCTTCGGCAGAGTCCATGCCTTTGAAATGTGTGAAGTAGGACTTGGTGTCTGGGTGCTCGGTAAACATCCTGTTGAGGAATGAGAGACGTCCTGACTTGTGGACCAAGGTATCAATGCAGACATGGCCACACGTTCTGGGCCTTGCCTTATGCATTTATGTCCCTTTCCCCCTTCTCTTTATTAGAACAGACACTTCTGCATTCCTTGTTTCTCCTTTGCCTTTTGAACCTGTGCATAATCCCCATGCACATAGCAGCCAGTCCCCTCTCCCTTGCTCTCCCTAGGGCATTTCCTTTGCTCATTCCACCTTAAAACTTATAATGAACTTATTCTACTCCTTCTAAAGTTAATATTTTATCAGTGTTAACTGTGTGTTACTTTCACAAAGAAGTGGGAGCAAGTTCACATGAGATGACTGTGACAGTTTAATATTCCCAAAGATGTTCTGGACAGCAGATATGACCACTGTGATACTGGTGGGTGTTTTCATAGAGAAACCCTACTGTTGGTTTTGTTAATTAACCACTTCCTATAGTCCAGTGCAAAGCTTTCTTACTGCCTGTGATGGATTGTTATTTGAGTATGGGGTACTGCTCATTCCATTTATTCAAAAGTAACACAATTCAGTGTGTTTGAAATTACCTTTGATCAATTACAGTAATCTTGGTCAAACTATTTTTAAAAAGCAGTTTACTCTGTTGGGTAAACTGGTTATCCACCTGAAGTATCCATAACAAATTCCACATTTCATTTCACAGTCATAAAATGGTTGGGCTTGAAGGAATCTCTGGAGGTCATCTGGGTCAACACCACTGGTCAAGCCAGTTGCCCAGGACCATGACCAGATGGCATGTGAGTATCTCCATGTATGGAAACTCAACAACTTCCTTGGGCAACCTGTGCCAGTGCTCAGTTGCACTCAGAAGTAAAAAAAAGTGTTTCCTGATGTTCAAGAGAACCTCCTGTGTTTCAGTTTGGGCCCATTGTCTCGTAGCACTACTGAGATGAGCCTGGTTCTGCCTTCTTTGCACTCTCCCTTCAGGTTTTTATGTACACATTGGTATGATTCCCCTGAGCTTTCTCTTCTCAAGGCTGAACAGTCATAGCTTTCTCTGCCTTTCTTTAATAGAGAGATACTACAGTCCCCACATCATCTTCCTGGCCCTTTGTTGGACTCTTTCCAGTATGGCCATGTCTCTCTTGTCCTGGGAAGCCCTGAACTTCCCTATAGGTAGGTCTGGGGCTGTAGGACACTAAAGCAAAATCCTGTAGAGAAAATTACCCCAGAGGCAAGCTACTGGATGCTACTAAAATTTTATGGCTGCATTTCTGACCCTAACTGTGCTCAGGTTGTGTAGCGTGCAGAAGAAAAGAGCAGCATGTAAGGCTTTGTGAAGGTAATCCAGGCACAAGGTGTGATATACAAGAAAGCTGCAGGGAATGGTAAAGGTCTGATAACCAGAAACAGTATTTGAACTGATCCATGCTTATGGAGGTGATGCAAGTCCCAGATGAGAGTGGAATATGTGAAAGGTGAACAGAAGAGAGGGAAATAGGATGGAAACTAAGAGAGGAAAGTCCACAGAAAGGGTATAATACAGTGGAACAGATGGACTGAGGCTGAAGGAGAATTAGAAGTGAAATACTGAGTTTTAAAAAAAGGATTAGAATAGTCTGGAGGTAAAGAGGAAGAGGGAAATAAGGCCCATGTTTTGTTCCCATTTCATACCACACTTTCTTTTCTTTACTTTACATGGGTGAACTTATTGCTCGTCTCTTCTTCTTTTCCCACCCCCTTACCCCTTTCTTTTTATTTTTCCTTGTATGGATTGCTCCTCTTCCTAGCAAGGGCTGCATGAAAAACATTGAGACATGCTTCAAGGCAGTAACTCCATCCTTGTTGTTCCTCCTTCACCCCTCCAGGGCAGCAGCTGGATGGGCTCTTTCCTTACCTGACTAGTACAGCTGTCCCATTGTCTTCAGCATCCACATATATCTTCTCCCAGGCACCACGGGCACTTTGCACCTCTGCTTCAGAGAGCGACATGGTGCAGGAGATGTTGGCAACAGAGGGTGCAGCAGGAGGGAGAAGGACAGGGAGGTCCTGGCAGGGTCTTTCTGCTCCAGTTCTCTCCTCAGGGCTCTCTAAATACTGCCCTGGGGATTTAAGAGATCTTGAAGGGTCTCTTTGTCTCTGTTGCCCTCAGTCACATTTCTGCAGGTTTTAGAGCTACCTAATCACTTTTAATCAGGAAAGAAACCAACCACATGAGGAGGAGGACTAGCCCTGTAGTTGCAGGCCGGGTGCCAAAGCAAAGGTCTCACTGTCTGAGGAGAGAAGGGAAAAAAGGCAGTTTTCAGTGGGGGAAAAAAGATTAATTCCCTTCCCCTCTCACCCCTGCCAAAGCCAGTGCTTGGCTCTTCTTTCCTGAGGGTGATCCTTGCCCGAGCACTAATTTTCCTGGTTTTCTCCCAAGAGTGCTGCTGTGCTGAGGGCACTGTGGTGCCCTGCCATCCCCTCTCCCTGGCACTCTTTGGTCTTTTTCAGTCAAAGATCCTGTTTCTCCCTCCAGCAACTCTCTCCAGTCCTGCCTTCATGCCGTGGTCACTGCTTTCCCCACAGCCCTCTGGTTTAACAGGGGCTCACCCCACAGCTGCTCCCAGCCTCGGTCCCATGACAGTGGGAGGCTTTGCCAGCCCAAAATGACAGCGTTGCAGGGATGGTGATGGCAGCATGGCTCAGCATCCATGGCCATAGTGCCCTGCAAAGCCACTTCATTTTAGCACTGGAGGTAAATAGTGTAGCACAGCCAGGCCAGGAGCACAGGCATTTCACTTTCCTAACCCTCTTGGTTTGCAGCTGGGATCTCTGTCCTATCTCTGAGCCCTGACTGCCTGGCAGAGAGATAAGGGGCAGAAGAAGGGCCAGGGTGGAGCTGCAGACAGCATCTCTGTACTTGTTATAGTCACAGTCACTTGGAACTGGACACAAAAAGTTTTCGTGGATTACCCATGCAATGCCTGGGGTTAACCTCTGGCAGGAATGTTCTGGTTAAGTCGAGGGCACCCATGCAAAGTAAGGACTAAGGGGCTTGAGAAACTGCTGCTGGATGCTGAGAGCAGACAAAACCTCATATTGTTTGGGGTGCTTTAGAGGAGGGAAGAAACAGGTGTGAGGAGAAAATATGTCAAGAAAAAACAGCCTGATACCCCAGGGCAGAAGGAAAGTGCTAGCTGCAAACACAGAGACCAACTGGTCTTGGTGGGGTTGTGTCTCACTGCTGCTGAGGGAGGCCTCAAATGACTTCACTGAAATCTGTCCCCACTTGCCTCCCTCTCCCTTTTAACCACACAGCAAAGAAAGAGCAGTCTGATACAAACCTGCAAAGCAGTTATGGGTGCCCCATCTTTGGAAGAGCTCAAGGCCAAGCTGGATAGGGCTTTGAGCTACTTGGTCTAGCCTGCCCACGGCAGAGAGGTTGGAAGTAGATGATCTTTAAAGTCTCTTCCAAACCAAAACATTCCATGATTCCCTAGGAGACTTTTCCTCTCCTCTCCCTCATTCTCCTCTGAGACATTGCAGTATATGAACATGCTCCATCCCCTGATATATAGTCAGACATTCTGTCATGGGCCAAAAAATACCTATTTTGAGTTGAGAAATTTCAATCCAATTAATTTATTGCAAAGTAACCAACCAACCAACCAACACTTAAATGCCTCACCTCCCCCTGTCCTGTTTCCCCACCCCATGCTGCAGGTTACACAGGGTTAGACCCTTTGGTGGGACCATGGGTGGTGCACAAGCTGGGGTCGGTGCATGGGGGTCCCTTGCTCTTGCTGCTCGTGTCCTACTCAACCACTCCAGCATGGGCTCTTCCACTGGTCATCATCCCATTGGATACTGTACCTGCCCTGGACTTGTCTCTCCCTTTTCAGTGCAAAAAAGCTCCAGAAACCTATTTATTTTGGTGTGGAAGTGGAAGAGCTATGAAAAATGTGTTGTTTAATCGTGAAGTCATTACTGACACATCCCTATATGTGGACAAGAGGATGAGGGCTTGGTTTATTACTTTTTCCTCTCCCGTGGTTTGTTTTATTATGCCAAAGGAAGTGAATCCTCTCAATCATAACTTCTATTGCATGAAGAGACATATTTTCTAATATGGGGTGAAGCTCCTCAGAATGTTATCCCTAAAGAAGAGAATCCTGGTGTGCAAGAGCCAATCAACACATTGAGTTAAGACATGATTTTATTACAAATCTGAAGAATAGGGTGCCAGGCCTTTTCCAACCTTTTGGAAAACGAGCAAAGTCCTTTTACAAAAAGGTAACCAAAAAAGAATCACACAGAAACAGGAGATTGGTCACTCACGCTTGTGTAACAGAAGTTTTAATATGCATGTGCTGATCTCAGTCCAGTTCAGTATCCTATCATTTCCACATACAAATTCCCCTGGGGATATGTTCTTAAAAATTATAATAATCTTTATATTATCATTATAATCATTTAAAATCATAATCTTCAAGGTAACTTGAAGTTGTCTTTACATCCTGTCACCAGTTGCTAAGTTATTGTTAAACCTTATTTTGTTAAACCTCTGTTGCAGTTTGAATCTGCTTGAATCTATTTGAACCATTACTTGTCAAGGACATAAGGATTTATAGCATTCTGTTCCTGGGGTCTCTCCACAGTTCCATTACTCCAGCACCACACTGTCATGGTTCCAAGGCTAGCTTATAGTTACTGTGGACTTTTTGTGAATCTTTAATTTCCTCTGACATCAAGCAGGCAGGGTCAGGCCAGGGAGCCAGATGGCACTGGGGAATCTGGAACAGAAAGCACAGCCATGGTGTTTGGGCTGTGGCCAAGCTGTTCCTCTCTCTATCCCCAGCCAGGGGAGAAGAGGCTACACCTCCCACTTCCTTGCCGGGAAATGGTGTCAGTACTGCAAAGTGGAGGTTGCTTTCTCTCAGTTTCCAAGAAATCATGTGCTTTAGGCAGAAGGCAGCCAGTAAGATCCAGCCACAGAAATGGGTGGCACCTTCTACTCACCCAGCCATTTAGGATCCAGCAGCCTCACACCTCTAGAGCTTATCAATGTCCTGGTTACAAACACTGCAAACCTCACTGTCTTCTCTTATCCTTGAAATTTGAAGATCTGTGATTTTTAGCATAAGCAACCCACCCTATTTATTGTTCAATGGGGTTAATCCCCAGCTCAGCAGATACACCTGGTTCAGAGAATGGTTGCCAGGGGCTCAGCAGCTGTAACTCTTATTTTCCCAACACCCATGGTAGTGTCAGGCTGAGGGTAGAGCCCCCCATATTGCCAGGATTCAGGGAGACCCTGAACCTGGTTCACTGAGACCCTGACTCTCAGTCAGTGCTGCTTTTAAAGAAAGGACAAACACCTGTTATCTGCTCATGCTCATTGTCTGAGGTTATCAACATAATCAGCTCATCAAAACAAGCAAAACTAGGAGCTGCAGTCACCACTGTCAGTGTCAATGTCTGAATCCCAAAGCCCACCTAGCACATGGGTGGGAAAGGCTTTCCCCACTGCCATTTTCTCAGACTGTACTCTCTCCGATTCCAGGGCATGGGTGGGCTTGGGTGGAGCCGTGTTGGGCTTTCCACTGCTGAAAACACCAAATGCAAAGAGTAAGAAAAAAGCAGGACTACTCAGCTTCTTAGGACCTAGCCCCCAGAATGGCCCTTACAAAGTGTACAGAGTGGTACCACCTGACATGGTAGAAATGCACACAGGTGTCTGTTGTGAATATTTTTATTGCATGTGTAACATTTTAAACGTGAAAGCAAAGGAAGTAATTTCAAAATCGTTCTGCTTTTATATATTGTAGGGCATAGCATATATGCAGATTAATCCTCTGAATGCTGCTCTCATGATTACCAACATTCAGTGCATGGCCAGCAGTGACTCTAATGCAATCATTCAACTAATAAGGATGACAGTGCTGAGTTTTCTTGCACTGTATCCAGCTAACCAAGAATTTGCATTGGTGGAGGCTGGTGTTCAGCAGAGAAACTTTACATGCTTAGTGAAAGGGAAGAAAGCCAAATCCACAAACCCCAGCCCGTTCCTCACTCCCTGAACCATCAGTGTGCTATCAGCATCATTCTGGACCCAAACCACACACCAACATAAGGGTCACTATGAAGAAAGTTAACTCCACATCAGCCAGACCCAGCACACTGCAGGACTGCATCCTTTTCTTGGAAAAATTTAGGCCCACAAAGCCTTAACAGTGCTGAACTTTTGTACAGTTGCTGCAAGCAAGAGGAAAGAAATCAGCTTTTAGAGATATAGAAAATATCAGAGATGCAGAGTACCTGGAGCCTGACAGAGGCATCAGGCAGCAGCATATGCACTATTCATATCTGTAATGTTACAATCTGGCATTCATATCTGCCCAATTAATGAGATAAACCACCCAATCATTTGATGCAAACAACACTCCCACAGCTTTTGGACACAAGCCCCTACACTGGTTCACTCAACTCCCTTGTCTGGGACACTGGAGCTTTAATTACACAGAGTTTATATAAATGATATTCTGAAGAAAACAAAAATCCACTGAATGTCACCTCCAGCAGAATTAAACCTGAACTCCAGATAAAGCGACCTGATGTAAGAGAAAGAGAAGATGTAGCTGCAAGAAGACATCAGGCTAAAATAAACTGCTTTATGTAGAAGTTAGACACCAGTCCAGAGGCTCTGCATCAAACACAGGTAGGTCACAGATGACTATACTGGTGGTATGGACTACTGTGTTCAGAGATGCAAGCTAAAAGGGTATGACATAAACCAGCAGACAAACCTGCTTCAGATACAAGAGAAAATGAGGTGTTGGACTGAAAGGGTGGTTGGTGATGAATGGATGGAACCAGAAAACCAGACTAGTAGTTTTCCTGTGTAAATAGGAAGTTTCATGATGGACTCATTGGTCCAATTGTCTCCTCTATTGTAGAAGTAATAGAATTGTTAGAATCATAATGGTTGGGAAAGACATCTAAGATCTGTTCAATATGACAAGTATTTATAAGATGAAAAATCCATTATAACTGTCTGACTTTTTTGGGAAGTAACATCAGTACATGCAGATTTAAATTCAGTGATCCCAAATTTCATCTCCACCTTCAGCCTGTGATGTGTCTCCAGCCATGTGTCTGGTGATGGCACTATACAGAAGCCAAGCTGTTCCATCCCTTCCTCATCTACTTACCGAGCATTCTGGTTTTTTGTACAATAGAAAGCAAAGACGACCTTTGTTTGATCTGGTTCTATTGGAAAGAAATCATAGTGAGCAACTTCATGTATATTCACTGATTCCCCAATTTCCACCAGTTTCTGGAGGAGACCAACTGCTCCAGAGGTGATATTGTGACAGACCACATCATTCCCAGCTGTCTTGGGGAGGAAAATCTTCAAAGAAGCCTCCCATCCACCAAAGAGAGGACCTGAGGCTTTCCCTGGGACTGGCCTTGTGCTCTGGTTTATTCTACACCTGAGAGGCCGTGTGAGACCCTGGAGCACAGACAGAAAGACCCTAAGGTAGCCTAAGGTGTCTGGCTGAACAAGCAAACAGAGATAAAGTCGTGAACTATTCCAAACCAGCACAGAGCCTTCAGAGAGAAATTCGGTAAAGCCACTGTAGGCTTCAAGGACAGCTGGACACCCTTACATTGGCTTCAGCATAACTTTTCAAAGGAGGGAGAGACTAGCTAGGAGGACCTCTATAACATGGGATGAGATCTTAGGTAATCCCAAGACTGCCCATCTCCTTTGAATTACAGGAAATTTCACTTGATCCCTGTTTCTTGTTGAGGACTAAGGTAGGGAGCCAGAGGGTGACCAGTTTCTCTGTCAAGCTTGAGAACAGGACAGCTTTTTGTTAGGAACAGGTATATTCCTTCACTCAAGTATGCAGTCAGGTTTTATTGTCTTTAGACAAATAAAAAACATCATCAAAGAAGGGCCTGTGAAGCTTTCGGCAATTACAAAAATAAATAATTTCTCTTTTTATTCATCAAATTCTCTCTGACTTGTGCTCATTCATCCTCATCAACCAGGCTTACTCAGCACTCTTCACGGATTCCCTAACCCCCAGCCCTTAAATAAATTAATAGCTCCAACCTCCATTAGCAGTAACTCCTCCACCTACCGTGTTGTACAGCTGCATCTTGAAGTTCTGCAAGAAGCACCGGGTGTCAGCTTGGCTGGAGGGCAGGCTCTTGTACTTCATCACAGCATCATAGCCAAAATATTTGAACTCCTGCTTCTGGTTGAACAAGATGCTCATAGGGGTCTTTGGGGTCTTGAACCCGTGCTCTGTTCCCCAGTAAACCTGGTGGATTTGGTCTGTACCTGAAGCAAGAGAAAAACAGTACCCACTGTAGGATGTGCCAAAATCTGTAGTAACAACAAAGACTGACTGTCCGACCATGGCCACTGCAGTGCAGAGGTGTGCAGCTCTGGGAGCAGAGAGGGGTGAACAGATGGGACTGGACTGAAACTCAAAAGACTGCAATTGCAGATCTCTCTATGAGAAAATAAGAGACAGGTGCTGGACGCTGGCACAATCCAGAAGTCGGGACTTAGTAAAGAGAAGAACCTCTAAAGTGACCCTGGGACCCCTGCATGTCCCACACAAACAGCACCAGCAGCTTTGACAAGTGAAGTTCTTGAGTGCTTAGTTCCTGTGGAGCAGCTGCACAGAATGAGAGCAAGAAGGCAATATAATACATCAATATAACATTACAAAGCTTTGAAAACTGTTTTCATTTGATTTTTAGGAATCTGCCATTCACATAGGAGCTGAAAATGAAACACAGTTCCTGCTGCAGTGCTGCCAAATCTGTTTGCTGCTTCTTCTGTACCCACCAGTTAAAGCTGAGTGGAAGATGAACAGAAGGTATTTAGAGCACATGGACAAGAAAGATGTAGTGCACTGGAAAAAAATCCATCCCTTCTATGGCCCATAATGAAACATGGGGAAGAAATTATTGTGAAAGGTGTAGTCTGGGATCAAAGGAGAATGACTTGAGAGTCAGACTAATTACTCACTTAGCCCTAAGAAGATGAAACAGCTGCTATGCAATACTCTGCTTTTCTTTCTCCCATGAATTGCCTACTTTTCAGAGCTAGTAAGTTAGGCAACCCCCTCTTGGGACACCTAGGATAAATCATCATTAACAAACCTATATTGAAAACTGAAGCTATTCCAATTATCTCCTTACAAAAGCCACCTGCCTGTTAGCACTCCACTGCTTTCCCACGTCTGTACAATTTACCTCTCCCAGAGTCCTCCCGCTACACACGTGCCACAGCTCTGGACCAAAGAGCTCTGAAAGTTGTATTCCATGGCATAAAGGGGATGCAATGAGGCAAATGCATGTTTATGTGATTTTGTGTGACACTGTATTCTGTGAGCAACTTGAGAATTACCAATTAAAAAAACTTTAAATTCTGCTGTGTGCCTGCCAACTCCTTTTCTCCAGTTTTTCTTTTTAGTCCATCCGTTTCCTTGGTTGCACAAACTCCCTAGAATTTTCTCAATGGGCCCCCAGAAAGGCAAATTTCTGTGAAGCTCTCTGCAAGCAAATTTTCTGCTTCTCTCAGAAATTCAGTAGTCTCTAAGCATATTGCAGGTCACTGACAACATCAGCTGGGATCCAGGTGTATGCAAGAAACTTTTAGAAAACCGGAGTGTTCTGAGAAACTGACTTTAAAAAATCTTTATTGGAAATATATATTATAGAACAGGTGAAGTAAAATTACATATGTGCCATATTTCCTACAACTTTTACAGAAGTAAAACGAACCACCACGAAGCAGAGAGTGGAGGTACTGCCTGCACAAATAGCACTAAGGTTGGTGGAAGCGACCTCCATGGGGTCCTTGCAGGTTGGAAAAAGGATACTAGCTAGGTGGTCCTCCTCTAGTCTGGAACCACTTGGCCTGCTCTCAAAGTAAAATGAATTTGCTCAAACAGATGTTGCCTGTTGGTTTTGCAACAGCAGAACAAATGTCACACATTACCCACCCCATTGCCTCAGTTTGTTCAACAGCTGCAGAAAGGCAGCACAAAAAGTGCAGAATTTATTGTACCTTCATTTATAGCACTGCAGTCCCCTGGAGCTGCACCAGTGCACAACCAAGCAGGGAGATGGCATCACCCCTGGTATGACTTTAGGCTCACAAAGGCTTCCTGAGAAGAAATCAGTGCTGCGGGAACCTGAGCCTGTGTGGCTGGGAGCACCCGCCTCAGCTGCGGAAGTCTCCTCTGTGTTTGTCCCCAGCCTTCCCTGGCACCTCCCACACTGTTGAAGTCCCGGAACTGCCCCTTGGATCTCACTTGGAATGCTCTTGGGCCGCCAGCTGCACAGCAGCACGATGGGTGCTGCAGCATGCACGGCAAATCCTCCGGGTTACTGCAGGTCAGGACGCCGTGCTGGACCGACGGCAGGAAGGGAACAGCGGGGGTGCGAGGGGTCACAAGTGACAGAGCTAGGGGCGAGCAAAACTGCATTTTGGAGAAACTATGGCTGTGACATGCTGCAAAAGGGCGTTTTGAGGGAGGCCCAACAGCACCACGGCCCGCAGTGAGACCCAGAGCCACAGTCGTGCAGGTAATGACAGGGCAGGACCTAGGAGCTCACCGCTGCCCGAGCTGCACAAGGCACCATTTCCCTTTCACTCTTAGCTTGATTTTAAACGGTGTAATTGCTCCCTCAGAAATAAAAAGAAGGAATTGCTTCCCTCAGAAATAAAAAGAAGGAACTGTTTCATGCAGACGCATGGAATGTTTATGAGGCAGGTTTGGTGATTTAATTCTAAGCCTCGTGAAGACCCTTAGGGCACGTGCGCGTACAAAGAGTCACAGCTTAAACTATTCGTGGTGTTTAGACCACTCGGGGTCTCCCTGTGCGATGCGCCAAGGCATGGCGCTGTCCCGCCTGCGCACAGCTGGCGGAGAACCGCGGGGCATGCCGGTCTCTGCAGTTCTGTCCTTGGTACCCGTGCTACAGAGGGTCGGGCAGATCACGGCACCCGGGCATCCCGCGAAGTAAGCGGGGCACCCAGGGGCGACCTGTACCCGCGCAAAAATTCCTCTCACATTCGGAGTGAGGACCCGGGCGTCACCCCGGGTCGTTATTTTCCTTACTCATAAGTTTAAGGCATACCGGCTTTCTCCCCGAACCGCTACCACACTCCTCCTCACTAGCTCTATAGGTCAGGGCGACCTCCGCCGCACGCTGTCTAATGTGGCCTCTAGCTGATCTGCACTGTCCTTGCCACTGCGCACGCCTCTTCTCCCCTACCGCGCGTGGAACCGCTGCCGCGGACCGAACCGCGCCGTGCCGTGCCGTATGCAAATGAAAGGCCCGGAGGCCGCGGGGAGTTGTGGGGCTCCCCTTCACAGGGGGCGGAGGCGGAGGCGGGGCCCGCTCTACATCTGAGGGCGGGGCGAGGAGCGGAAGTTGTGTGGTGTCATCTCCGGGACTCGCTCGCTGCGTCTCATCGTTGGGACCGCGACAAGATGGCGGACCTGTCTCTGGACGAGCTCATACGGAAACGCGGTGTGACGGTGAAGGGCAGGTGAGCTGCTGGGACAGCGACGCAGCGCCTTGGGCCCGGCGGCCCCCGGCCGTCCCTCCTGTGTCCCTTCGGGTGGTTCCGCTCCGAGGGCTGCAGGCCGCGGCTGCCTTGGCGCGGCCTGGCCCTGCTCCCGCCCCCGCGTTCCCATTGGCTGAGCTGTGGGCTTGTGGGGCCGCCTTGCGATGTGATTGGCGGTGGCGGTTGTCACTCAGAGCCGGGGCGGGGGTCGGGCCCCCATCTCGGCCCCTGTGCCTAGTGCTGCCCCGGTGGGGCAGGAACGCTCGCCGGCCCATCCCATCTCGGTCTTCTCGGGATTCCTGGCGCCGTCTCTTGTCTCACTGAATCCTCCGACTTGCCCTGTCCCCACTTCCTCATGCTTGTCCCTGCCGATTAACCCAGCGCTGCTGCCTGTAACGGGGCCGGCGGCCCTGAGCCCCGTCGGTACCCGGGCTGCAGGTGTTAGCCAGGCAGTGCCCTGGGGTGCCCGCTGCCCCCCGCTCCCGAGAGCGGCTCGGTGCATTGTGGGAGAGCCGTGGGAGGCTGGTGGTGCTCGGGGAGCTGTAACCGACCGGGGCCGCCGGGCACCCGCGCGGGCGAGGCTGCCGGGGCTTCGGAAGATGTCGTCCCTCTGGCGTAGTTAGCGGTGCTCCCACAGATTGTTGGAAGTGGTTGAGAGGACGTGGAGCATGTTGCAGATCCGGACTGCAAGGTCAGATTATTTCTTTGCATGGCAGATGACTCCGGTGTAGGCTGGGCCATTTACTGCCACATTTGGCAGTTCTTACCTGGATTCTCCTTCAATAGCTTTTCATTTTCCCTTTTGCCATAGTCTCTTAATGCTTCTGAAGAACCTTGTTCCCCATCTCTGTTAGCTCAGTGTGCTCTTGCTTTTTTAAATTTATTGGTCTTTGTTTTTGACTCTGAGAATGTGTATACACTTACGTGTCTAGAGTAATATTCTGAAAGTTACTTGCTAGCATATACTACCAAAACATTCAAACTTATTTAAATCCTAGTCTAGACAAGGCCTTGGCTTTGCGCTTTCATTCACGTTATCCTGCATATTTGGAAGAGTCTTAGGCTGCTTACTATGCCCCAAGTACCTCCTTTATCCCTTTTCAAATCCTTCATTAACTCTAATTTCTTGCAGGAATTCTTCCTGTGCTTTTTTTGCTGAACAATAATCCCTCTGCAGCACTGTAAGATTTGTTGTGCCACACACTCGTCTTGTATGTCGTGTTTAGCTCACTTGATAAATTCCTGAGGTAGCAAACTTGGCTTTGTGAAGGCTGGATAAAACACTGAAGAAACTAAATCATTATGTTTATGCTGCTCAGTAGTCTAGATGAAATAATACAAAAATTTTCACCTATAAAATGTGCTGATACATAACATATTCAAGCCAGAGCTTGGAATCCTGGAAAGTGAATCAGATGTTTGGGATCCACTTTCATTTCAGGTGTTGTGGCACAAATACCTAAGCAGTTAATGCTTTTATAGGGTAAGCAATTATCTGTGAAAGGGAGTTGCTTATTAGGGTAACAACTCTTCAGAAATGGTGTAATCTTCAGTACAGTTTCTTAACCTATTTCACTGGGTTTTGTCATCAGCCATTTTAACTAATTTTAGTTTAAATGTTGATACATACATTGTTGGTTTTACTTTGACCTCTCTCATGAGCCACTCCTCCAGCCCTTTGCAGCGCTCCAGCTGAATGCTTTTAACGTGGCTAAATAAATGCTTTTTTAAATTGCAAGGAAAGTCTTGCTCCGTGTCAGTTGCTTTATGGGTGCTGTTAGCCTTCTGTATTCTGGATATATTTTCCTAGATGGTCTTAATAATCCTCCTCTTTCTTCTAGTTGGTTTGCTTTGGCTGTATGAGAGAGCAGCCATAGGACTCTTAGATAGGTGGTAAAATGGGACTGCAGTCATCAGACATCTGGACACAAGAATGAAAGAGACAGAAGCAGAGGTTTTTAATCTCTTGGTTGGTTGGGGTTTTTTTTTGAGATCTCTCCACTGAAGATACATAATTGTAAATAACGTGAAGGTTATGGAGTTAGATCAGCAAATTCTGATAAGGTGCATGAAGAATTGAAATAGCATCATCATTTGATTTTGTGATGCTAACCTTTTGATTGCTACAACAAATTCCAGGTATCTACTTTTAGACTTTATAATACTGGACAGCACATTTCTAAAAGCAGATGAACATTGTAGCCCTCTGTTTTAAAA